ATATATTTATTATTTATACATTATATTATATATGTATATATATTATATATATTATACAGGGTATCTCAGTAGGGATAATACAACTGGAAAGGGGGTGATTCTACATGCAGGAACGAATTGAAAAAAAAGAATAAAATTTTGTGATTCGAAACTTCATTTTCGAGAAAATGGGTATCTCAATATCCATCGAATACACTGATATACTGATGGCCCATCCACCTTAGCCAAACTTAAGTGCATGCGTACTCGTTCAATATTCAAAGTCGATTTTCTCGATAACGAAGCTTCGAATGAAAAAATTTTATTCTTCATTTTCGATCTGTTTTTTCAGGTAGAATCACCCCCTCCTCGATCGTACCACTGATACTCGTGTATTGATGTGATAAATGTGCAATAGATATGTGTACCAAAGAAAGTAAATTTTTTAGTGCCTCGAAACTGTGATATCAAAATATTTTGTGCAAGTATTTGTTTTCTATTCTTGTTGTATTTTTTAAATTAGTGTCTTCGAATGTTGGCATAGTCTTTTGATTAAAACAGATTTTAATCAGAGTCGAAGGTCAATATCACAGTTGTGACATTATTGACATAACCTTAATTCGTGTAATTAATTATATTTTGAACCACGATTTCATTATTTTAACGTTAAAATCTGTAAAATATTTGTCTGTGGTTCCATTTCCAACAATTTGAAATAGAAACAAAAAAAATGGAAGATTTATTATAAATTTTGATATTTCTGAAGAATAAAAAATTGAAATGGAATATAAAGCACAATTTTTGTTTGATTTTTAAATAGCAAAAATATGCGTATTTTTATTTTTATTTATTAATCGATAAATAGTTATTATTGTTATAGCTATTCATAAATTATTCTTACCTTATTTTCCATTATTTTTATTAAATGCCCGATAATTATACTTTATCGAAGAGAGTTTATATCATTATTATCAGTCGAAGATATAAATAAAGTACTCATATATATAGTTTAAAGATAAAAGTAGCTCAGTCACTTATCATTTATCGTGAACTTTTAAAAAATCTAAGTGACCCAATTTTATCTGAAACGCTTTATTCTTTTAATTATGGTTTTATCAAGTTTTGACATTTTATCTAATTTGCATATAGCAATACATTACATTAAATTTTTCATTCTTTAACAAGACTTAACGAGCAATTTAAAAATTACAATTTGAAATATTTCAAAATTATAATTGTAACAACTATAATCCAAAAAATTCCATTGAGTAGACATTAATCTTCCAAAAAATTTACAAAAATTTGATTATACAGCAAATAGCATTTTCTAACTTACATGACTGTAATTTGCACAAAATAGCTCGAGTCTAAATCCAAAATTAAAAAGTTCAAAATTCCAAAAACCTTGAACTTACAAAACTTTTTAAATCTTTTTATATAATAGTTCATTTTCTCAAAATCTCTCTTTTTCAAAATATTATATATAATAAAGTGTACTCTCCCTATCGTCAATTTTTTAAATCAAAATTGCAAAACTAAAAATCTTCCTCGTAAGTTAGAAGAAATTTTAATTCAGCATCGAATCACAGTCAAACATGTATTCTAGTAAATAGAGTAACTATTTACTCTAGGGAGTAAACAATATCCCTAGAGTCCTTAAACAAAGCTAAAAAAATTATCGCTAGTCGTCAGCAGCGTAGTTTAATTTCCGGCTAGAAGATCCTATTTCCACTCTCCATTCAACCTTTATATTTCATCCTTCTCCCTTCCAACGCGTTATTTTACGATTCCAAAATCCGTCGAAAAGTCGAGCGTGCCGGTAATTCAACGTTCCGGGACCAACTCCATCAGCGGTTACTCCAGGGCACACATACAGTACGTACAGGCCGTTATTCATCCGTGGCCGACAACGTAATGAATTCGAAGTTACGCGACTCGAGAACACCTCACTCCGGTTCCGTTTATTCTATCGTGTTTCAATTACGCTCGCCGGTAAATACTTGAACAGGCCCGAGCGAAAGTCGTGTCTCGCGCTGGCTCACTCAGCACCGGTACACACTAGCGCCACGGGTGGCTAAGTTGCGCGACGGTGGCGCGACGCGGCGTAGAATGCAACGAAGCGGGAGGAAAACATAAAACATTCGTGTATAAAAGTATCGGATCTTTTCGAATCACTACAAAATTTTGAAAAATTTTAGGTGAGCAGTGAACGATTAATAATGAACAGTTTTATCCAATTTTTAGAATTAAAAATTTTGTACTTATTAAAATTTTGTAATTATTATGATCCCTCCAAATCTTGGACGTTACTTTTTAAACACCCTGTACTTTTATATATTCACGTGTGTTGCATCATTAAACTTGATGCACACGAGTGATTCGACGTTTCTGTAATTTAGAATTGGTAACGCTGTGTGATTCGTGAAGTTTGTACTTCTAATGATGCGGTGCACACGAGTATATGAGCGTGTTATTGGAAATGTGAAATTGTCGAAGTACGGGAAATAATAATGGCTTTTTGCGCACGTGTGCACTGTGCCATTAGGTCTGGTGCACACTAGCGACGCGACGAAGTTGAGGTTAGGCGACGGTAGCTCCACGCGACGTGATGCATTTGTACTTCGCACAGCGACGTCGATACTCGTGTGTAGTACGTTATTACACTCGGTTCGCACGAGTGATTCGATGCTGCTGTGATTTAACATCGGTGACGTTCGAGGTGTTTATGCTTCTAATGACGCAATGCACATGAGTACATGAACGTGTTATTTGAAATACGAAGTTGTCGAATTGCACAGTGTCGGTAACGTAAAATCGTACCGTTAGAATGGATAATAATAATAACTCTATCGTGTGCTCGTGTGCACTATACCATTAAGCCCGGTGCACACGAGTGATGTGAAGTAATTAGGATTTCGGGATAATGGGGACACTGCGAAACTCCGCGAAATTGTATTTTTAATAGTGACGTCATATACTTCCCCCGTTGCCTCATTAAGCCCCGTACACACGAAGGATTCGAAATTTTTACAATTTTGTAAGATTGGTAACATTGTGTAATTCGAAAAATATTCCTAATAGTACTATATACAGTGTATGGGTTCCATTATTACAAATATACGTGGTACCCAATTTTAATCGATAATTGTAAGTTACTCTTGAAGTATTCGACGAATGGAGAAAATAATTACGTCATCTTATATTTAAAAAATTAAAACCATTTCTCCATTTGGCGAATAATTTACGGATTGAAATTTGACACCCTGTAATTTCGTGAAATTACACAGTGCTAATAATATGACAATTTAACGACGTCCCATTACTCACGTGCACTGATCATAATAGCGAGGATTATACCATTAAGTCCAGTTTACACGAGTGATAACGATACGCTATCGTAATTTCGCATTCATGACGCCGTTTAATTCAAAATGTATGTATTCATACTTCCAACAAAATAATTTTATCCATTAACGAAATAATAGTGTACTTGTGCGCATAGAATTATTAAAACTGTAAACTTCTAGAAGCTTAAAAGTACTTGACACGAAATCAAATCACATTAAAACAGTTGTCACATCGCTCATGAGGCTTTAAAAACGCAAGCTGCGCAAATAACATGGCATCGCGGGAGTAGATTAGCGATACCGCTTCACCCGTGTGCATTGGGCTTTATCGTGCGCGCGCAGCTTGGTAACGGAAATGGCGGACGACGGCGTGCGCGCGATGAAGTCGTTGACGAACGCGTGCGAGGCTAATGCGTGCTTATCTGTACGAGCGTAATGATCGGTAAGTATGCTGGCGTTAATAATTCGCGCCGCGTGGAAAGAATAAATTATGTGCAACGCGTGCTGTTTAACCGTCGCGTTGCGTGACACTGTATTAAAAGGGACATGCTGTAATCTGGTAAAGCTTACAGTGGCTGTAATCAGAAAAATTGAGAGAAAAGTGATAGTTGATGTCGATCTTGATTAGAAAAAATCTCATCTCTCTATGAGCGAGGAATGAACACTATACTTGATTCTGGCGCCATTTTGCATTCTTTTAACTCCTTTGTTGATCATGACTTAACATTAATTTAATTTGTAGATGTTTCTACAAATTTCATGTATGACTTAAATATATTAATTAAATATATTATAATTAAGTATATCAATATTAAATATATTATCAAAGTAATTAGGAAACAAAATTTATTTAAATGAATATCAACCTAGTTAAGTACGTTTAAAGTAAAACTAATAAAAAGAGTATTAGAAATGCAAAGGATTAAAAATTATTCTGTAATTGTGAATATTAGATGATTTATGATTTAATAACTAAACGGTTATTATATATTAAATTATCTGTTATTTATATTTTGCTTTTATTATATATAGGGTGTCATATACAATAATTGAGATAATATAACTGACAAATAGTAGGTTTAAAATTTGCCTATCTTCGCATTCATACACATACAATCGTTAAGTTCCATACATTCAATTTTTTAAAAAACCCAGTAAGTACATTTGAAACGTGTAATTGATTAAATTCTCATTTTCTTCAAATAATTAAAAAGAGGATCTGCATCCTTAATAATTAAACACTATTATTAAGTAAAATCACAATATTGTAAGTCTCCTTGTGCAAACTATACTAATTCAGAACATCTTGAACCTGCATAAAATATACCTATACTCTAATCATATATCCCCAGAAAAATAGGGAAAATAAATAATACCGATACATGATTATAATTTTCCAAAATAAATTCCCATTGAAATCCCATATTACTATTACTTTTCAACATAATTAAACTTCAACATAAAAATATGCGAAAGACAATACTTTTACATCGTTATAAATTTTTAAAACAAATTTTCGCCTTATAGATTCTATAATTCTATATAAAATAGGATTCTATAATTCGCTTCCTATTAGAATCCTATTTTATTATTACCAATTTCCAATAAAAATATTTGTATGTTCTATTCTTGTCGTTGAGAAATAGCGTTAGAGAGTTCAAACGAAAGCTTCCACTTTCTGTCGCTAGGTGGATGTCCCGCTCTGCCATGAGGCCGGCCGAGGGCGACACATCGGACTGCATCCTGGTGGTTGGCATATCCAGGCCGAAAATGGCCGCCGCCTTCCTCACTGTCGTCCTACTCTCCCTCTTTCTGACCTTCCACATTCTCTACGATAGCGCGATATATAGCCTCCACGCAGCCTCAGCCGTCGAGAGTCGTACCGTCGAACTCGTCTCCCAAGTCCGCGCCACGCCGCCATTGCTCTTCTCCAGCAAGGTGCACTTCCCGCGCACTAGTCGACATCTACCTCAGGCGATCATCATAGGCGTGCGCAAATGCGGCACCAGGGCGCTTCTCGAGATGCTTTTCCTTCATCCGCAAATTCAAAAGGCCACCGGCGAGGTGCACTTCTTCGATCGTGACGACAATTACGGGAAAGGCCTCGAGTGGTATCGACGGAAGATGCCTTATTCGTTCAGGGGCCAGATCACCATAGAGAAGAGTCCCAGTTATTTCGTCACGCCAGAGGTAAGTGTTGGGGGGAAATTGTTGATCCAGTGATATGATATGGTAATATAATATTATACAGGTACAGATAACAATATATAACAAAATTGTACATTTGCAGAAATGGTGTGGAGAATGTCACATAATAATATAATTATTAAAATAGTATGACATGACAATACACATGACATATAGTTAGCCCAGGAGAAATAATATGGTAATATAGTAATAATATTATATTTATATATAGCTGTACAGATATCAATATATAACAAAATTATTGATTTGCAAACATAGTTTGGAAAATGTCACATAATATAATCATTATAATAGTGTAATATTAATATAACATAATTAGGTCAAAGGAAATAATATGGTAAAATAGTAATTTGATACATATAATAGTACAGATAACAATATATAACAGAATTGTTCATTTGCAAACATAGTTTGGAGAATGTAGTATGGGAATATAATACATATAATATAATAAGATACATAATGATACACTAATAAATTGTATATTTATGAAATAGTTTAGAAAGTATGTGATAGTATGATATAATAAAATAATAGAATATAATAATACAATCTAGTGATATAGTACAGAGTAATTCTGTCATTCAGGAGACTTAAAGACAGTGCTGCCACCAAAACAATTTTGCAACAGAAATATCATGTTTGTATAGAGATCGGTTTTTACCATAACATTTTTGTATAACTTATTGCACAACAAATAATTTGGAATTTAAATGGTTACAGAGAAACCATATCTTAGTTACGTTTTACACATCTAGATGGCACACCGAACACTGATCAAAATTTAGACTCTACAGAAAATATTCATAAAATAGTTTATAAATTAAAAATTTTATATAAAAATTCCATTGTTCAGATAAACAAATTGGTTGCCTAAGATTAATTTGGTGGCTAACGTTCGCGTTAAGAACGAGCACTATTTAGGTTAACAAGAGTCCTATAATTCGGGGAAAAGTTAAATTCGTGAAGTTCGATTCGCAAGCCGAACAGAGGGCGCCACGTGATACTTCAATGTAGAACCTCTATATTTCTTCCATTGACTATATATACAATAGATAGAAGAGACGTGTTTGGGCAGCTATTGAGTAAACCTTGACTAGAATGTAGGGTCAGAGGTTTTGAAAATTTTATAGTGCTTTTTAAGGTATCAAATTACATAATTAAGAATTGATATATTAATATATTTAATTATTTCTTTAATAAATTATTTTTAACTCCACTTTTTAAATTTTCTTTTAAATATTACA